CCTTTTTTGTAATATATGGAGAGTTTATGTTGTTAAAACTAAATTTTAATATACTTTTAAAATGTTAAATAAGTTAAAACAAATATATATATAGATATATGAGATAGAGTATATATATATATATATATATATATATATATACTACTTTGTTATATATACTAAAATCTCATTAACAAAATGAACTTGTTAACAATATTTTTATAACAACTTTTTCAATGATCACTTGTCATTATTCTATTAATCTATTTGAATTTATTTTTAAAAAAGATATTTGAAACAGACTAATCACAAGTCACACGTTGTTAAAATTTGTTAAAAAAAAGTTATTAAAGAAACATTTTTCTAACAAAATACTTTTACTATCTTTCCTTATTCATAAAAATATGTTATTTACGAAAATAACACTCATTATATTTTTTATTATTAATATTGTTATAATTATATTGTTTTTATTATTAATATTATAATAATAATAATAATACTTATTAATATTATTAATAATAATATTATATTTTTAATAATTATTATTATATTATTATTTTTTATTATTTCAATTATTATAATTAATATTACTATAATAATAATAATTATTATTATTAGTATCTTCATTATTATTATTATTTATACTTCTTTCGTACATATTTTGTTGTATTACTCATCACAGATCTCATTATTCTAGTTTGCTGTTAAGATAACCATTAAAAATCTTGAAATGACTAGTTAGGTAATTTTCAAAGTAAAATGGTGCAATGTCAGTTTCTGTGTGTGTAAAGGAAAATGATTTTTCAACAAAAAAAAACATTAATTTGGGATTGATGATAGGAGTGATACAGTCACAAAAAAAAAAAAGATTGAACTTTTTTCATTTATAAAGAAAAAGTGAAAGGTGGTGAGAATAATGTGTTAAAATATGTTATGCTGTGTGTAAAGCAGTAAGAAGGAAAATTTCAAACTTATGGATGATATCGAAAACGAGAATCTAATCTTAATGGTTAGACCAAACAGCAACCAATAAGAAAAAATCATCTAATTCCCCAAAGAGTATTCCCTTTTACCATACCCAAATGATTAGTGAAGTGAGTTTTCCCATTCAATGACCAGGAATGAAAATAAGATGAGTCTTGAATATCATTTCTAAATGGACAAAACATTGAGGAGTAATCCAGACAGAGATATTTCTTTTGTCTAAATCATCTTAATATATATATAGGAATCTATCCAGAATCAGCAACCTTATACATGTGAAAGCTACAAGACCTTGGGAAGTTCCAAGCACTGCCATTAAAGTCATTCAAAAACAAACTTCACCATCCCATCATTCTTTTCACTCCTCAGAACACTCCTCTTTCACCACTATATATATCAAACTTTATGTTATACAAATGTTCACTGCATGCTTAACATCTTCTTAATTATGGTTTACAAACGTACGTTGTACCATCTTCTTAAGCAACTATTTTTTCCATCCAAAATATCACAACTAAACCTTATTACCACACGGATATTAATTGTTCCTACAAATTGCCAGTCAACTAGTCACAGTAACTCCAACAGTAAAAATATAGCAATTTGTCTCCCATTATTTAATCACGAAGCGGAAATTTTGCCTTTAATGATTGAATAATTGAACATAAAAATCAGGAAAATGCATTGCTTAAAGATCATAACAATAATTTCATTTTTGGTGGCCTTGCCAAGTGGTAGAATGGCAGCGCATCATGAATTTAGTGGCAACTCCACTCATTTCATCGCCATCTATATTGCTTCTCTCGGACCAATCTACCTCTTTCAACACTACTGTCACAACAATCGCCTCTTTCTATAAATTCCCACATTTTGCACCACGATCGTCGTAGCCTTCAAACGTTTAGCATATGTATAATTCGGTACTAACTGTCTAAAAAATCTTAGATGTGTATCATGTTTCCATGTTCTAAATTTAGTTTACACTTGTTAATTAATCGGTGATCGAGGATCAGTAATTATTACACTAAGTTCTGATAACTCACGGTTATAACTAGGTTAATTTTTCTTGAACTTCATTAAAACTATGTAACTTGTTACTTGTGCATGAAATCTTTGTAAGAACTTTGTTAATTACTTGTACATGTTTTGGTGATAAATAAAATAAAATATATCGCTAACATAGTTTATATAAGTTCATCATTCAATTAATTTTGATGGGTGTTTTACGCAGGCTTTTGGGAAACTGTGAAGCATGAGGAGCTTATCAGTTGCACTCTTGTTTGGCTTGATTATGATGGTGAGCATGTTGAATGGTGGTGCAGTGAAGGAGGAAGATGAGCAAAGAGCAAAGGGAAAACGCTATCTACTGAGTGAAACTGATCTTGGTCGAAAGGGCATAAGAAGCGACAGGATTGAGCCAGCCAGTAAGGGTTCTGCAAGTGCAAACACGAACACTGCTTCTGTGAATGGTAACAAAGCCAGTTATAATGATGACATAAATGAGAGTTATGAGAACAATGGGAATGGTTCGGGACCAGTCCTTAACAGCCATCACTATTTCCATATTCGCACTCCACCCATTCACGGCTAGTTCTTCTAAGTGCTTGATGAACATGTATACGTGCATGGTGATGGAGTTGCATCTACTAATGAACACAAAGGTTAAATAAAGTGCAACTATATAGCCTGTGTTTGTGTCTATGTTAGTTTTACTACGATTAACTATATGTGTGTATGTTAGTTTTTCTTATCATGACTTATTAGCATGCGTCTCTGGATACTAGGGCAACTGCATGTGCATGTGATTTTTGTGTTTTTGGTTGATTTTCTTGGCCAAGAAGACAGGGAAAGCCTGGGAAAGAAGCTAGGGTAGTTCTTTAGAGTTTCATCTTTTAATTTCTTTATGTGCTATTGGATTGGTTTGGAATGTCTGGTCAAAGTAACTAAATATACCTACCTTCCGTTTCCCAGCTCAAGAATCAAGAAACTTTAAAAAATTAAGTGATTAAGAACTACTGTCTAATCTCATATATTTAAGTTTACCAAATTTTTTAAAAAAATAATAATATAATTTGTATAGGACAAATAAACTCGAGTTGATCAATGTAACACCGATTTATAAGGGTGATTGGTCACGTCAAAGACGACTAGTCGAGTAGTCTGTGAAGTGATTTAGCATAAATAAACCTAAACAAATGGATTAAGGTGTGATTGAGCACAATTAAAGCATTGGTAGGTAAAATTTTATAACAAATAGTATAAATATAAGGAATAGATGAAGTATTTAAGTTACATTCAGTATATTTTATATTCAGACACTAAGCATCAAAATATCTTCTTCAAATATATTCTGGAGATGAGATTTAGACTTTCATAACCCCATTATTGAAGAGATGAAAACGATTTACAAACCAAACCATTAAAGAGTTAGAATTCTTTAACCCATAATTTAATTACGTATTTGTTAAAGATATTGAATTCTTTAACCAAGTCTGTCCAGTGAACTATAACTCAAGGCAAACTAATATAATAAAATTGAATTAGTTTGAGATACTGAAATTTACGTCAAAAGGAGTGTAACTTGGTTTTTGTCGGAGTAGTTATTTGAACGTTATTGTTCTCAAACTCCACAAATCTTTACTCATCTAATCACTTTATCTATATTTCTTTCCATTCAATTTGACTTAATTTATTGTCAATAAAGTTAATTTTTTTTGCAATCCTAACCTAATTAAGTTTTATCAGTTCAGATTTAATTTTTTTTATTAAATTCAATGTGATCTCGTGTTTACAATATAAAACTACTAGAATTTAACGTGATTACGTGTGTTTCTTTATATATATATATATATATATGCGCGTGTGTGATATTTTTCTTATTTTATGTTGTCCTTCGATGTACGTGCATTTAGTAAATGAAAAAAAGAAAGTATTAATATTATTATTATTATTAATGTGTAAGCTAAAAACCAATTATATTGAGACTTGATTTCGTAAGAGGAATATTTGTTTTAATAATTGTGAATATATTATACATGCTATGATGTGAAGTAAATTAAACACCTGATTATTCTTCTTCTATCTTGACCTGTGTTAAAATTTAGTTCCTTGGATTTTGTGGCACGACGGGTTTAAAGCCATGACATATTTTTATCTCTCAAAAAATTTCAAGCAAAATTATGGCATGAAATTAATAATTGAAAATGTTTATTAACTACTTACTCAATGTGATTTTCCAATTAATTTAATTAACAATGTAAATAAATAACAATTAGGAATCTAAATTGTCCTCGATTAAGTTTTGGAATTACTGGTAAAGTTTAAATTTTACTTGCAAAAGTACGGATAATTTATTCATCCATATCATCAACCAAGGAAAATTTTCAGATATGCTGCTACATGAACTGGGACAGTCCACAGATTTCACAGCAAATTAATCTGCAATTTACTTATAATGCATGTATTACTGAATTGGATTACTAGTGTGATTCACATCAAATTAGACCAAAACATAGAACTAACAAAGTGTTATATAGATTAAGTGATGAATTAAATTTGAAACCTGACTAAAATTATTATAATTTTTTTAATAATTTAAAAACAAGATACAACTCAAAACTTATTTTCTGCTAACAAAGAAGAAGTTGATATGACAAGAACTAAGAATTGTGAAAGAGCATTAACAACAGTTGTTTGATGTTCATCATGTATATATTCTCTTACTTACAGTACCCACAACTGAAGCAATTTCTCATTCATAACAAAAAAGTCTTCATGATAAGCCAGAACCGAATATGCCTTTTATGTTTGCTTTCATTATATATGTTGAGATAGATAAAATTATAACCATATATTTTTTGTTAAATGGTATACCATCTAATACCTTTTTATTTAACTATATGTTTTTAAAAATTCGTCTTCTGATTACAAATTTATTTCACATAAATTATATTTACAAAAAAAATATTATTCTAAAAGGATTCAATATCTTATTTATACAAACCAAAATTGACATAATATATCTATTTTAAAATATATGATTAGTCAACATAAATAATCACAGAAGAAATTATAATTTAACAGCTGAATGAAAATATTTTTATTTCAAATTATTAGTTGATAATATTTAATAAGAATTATATCGGTATAATCTGTTTATATATATATAATTAGATTAATTAAAAAAAAGAAACGGATTGGATGAAAGATAGAATAACTTTTAGGTTGTTTGAATATAGAAAAAAAAAAGGTTTAATGTATCGGTAGGTCCCTATTTTCGGCGTGAATCTCAAATAGGTCCCTTTTCTTTTCGGCGTCTCAATTGGGTCCCCATTTTTGTAAAATTGTAACAATTAAAGGCCTACCGTCAAATTGGACAAACGTCCGTTTAATTGTTTATTACGTGGCATGGTCAGTGTTTTCAGTAATCATACGTGGAATTAAAAAAGAGTTTTGTATTAAAAACTATGAAGTTAAATCAGCTTTAGAGAAAGGTCACAGTGGTAATTCCCACTTCATCTTCCCCTCTCCTTCTCACACACAACCCGAGTTCTGAAGCAGAGAGGATGAACCCGAACATGTTCCGCTTGAGGAAGCCATGGGTCCTGCGCCTAACAGTGCGCGATTTGTGATTGTTGGGTTCTTCTTTGCAGGTCTGGTTTTTATGCAGGTTCGATTGTAGAGCGGGAAGGTGCGGTGGCGTGTGATGGCTGCCATGGAGGTTGGGCAACGGCGAGGAAGCTCGCGAGGTGAGGGAGGTTAGTGGTGGTCGCGGCATGGTTGGTGAAGATCGCGAGGTGATGATCCGAGATGAAGGTGCGATTGGGTTCCGAGAATGGAGAAGATGAAGATGGTTGTGCCAAGCTTTCGTCAATGGAGGAGAGGCGCTATGAAGGTTGCGGTGGCTGGTGCGTGTTCGATGATTTGCGTGTGAGAAGAGTGGTGTCGCGGCGGCTGGCGTGGTTGATGGTGGTGGAGAAGAGGACTGTGACTTTGTGCGACGGCGGCGAGATGTTGGTGATGCGAAGACGAACTCGCAGATGGCGGTCGTGGTGGCTTCGAACCCTTGCGCGAAGGAGAAGGAAGGTGGCGGCGGTCTTGGTTGAGGCACCGTTGTGGTCCGTTGATGCGCCGGCGAGAAAGGAAGGAGATGATGTTCTAGCCGTGGCGACGACTTGCGGCATTGGCGGGAGCGGCGGAAGCGGAACGGCAGTGGCGGAAGCGGAACGGCAGTGGCGGCTAGGGTTAGGGTTTCAGTGGGTGGAAGATGATAGGGCTGACGTGGCAAGGTTGAAGAGAAGGTGTTTGATACAAAGTCAGTGTGAGATGGGAATCATGCCACGTGTGATTACTGAAAACACTGTTCATGTCACGTAACAAACAATTAAACGGCCGTTTGTTCAATTTGACGGCAGACCCCTAATTGTTACAATTTTACAAAAATGGGGACCCAATTGAGACGCCGAAAAGAAAAGGGACCTATTTGAGATTCACGCCGAAAATAGGGACCTACCGAGACATTAAACCAAAAAAAAATTAAGAAAAAGGCGCTTTAAATTATCAAACTATTTTTTGGTGATAAAGAAAATAGTATATGACATTGAAATCTTCACAATATAATAAAATAAATGTAAAAAGTCAAGGTATCTTGTGTCTTTTCACAAAAAGTATCTTTGTTCTATCATCTTTCCCGATAGAAAGTTTTCATAGGTAAGACATAAAATATCTCGTACTTTTTTCACATTTACTGAAATGAAATAAAGGAGAAATTCAAATTTGTGTTCTTTTCTATCCTTACTTTTGTTCTATATTAACTAGTGTTTTAAGGATTTTAAGAAACAAAAACGATTTTTTTTTATATTGAAAGTAATGTGCAAGCGTTTCTAGAAAAATTACAAAAAAAATTTCCATGCATTCCAATAAAAAATTCTCTTTTAAGTTTGATGCTTTTTTTTTAAACCATATATGAGGGAAAAGGACTCAGTGACAGTTTGAGTCCATGAGTCCATTAATATAGTGATGCGATGCATGAAGATGTTTGTCTAAAATGATTCATAATCACATATAAAGTTATACATTATCTTTTACTGTTATAATATTAGAAATTCAATGTGGTGAAAGTTTTATTGAATAAAAGCAAAAAAATTGAGTGACATAAAAAAAATAAAAAACCTCAAACTTAAAATTTTATATTGGAGTATCACTTTTTTCATATGAACTTATACCTTGATATTAAATCTCCTCAATCTATTCTAGTAAATATAAAATACAATAAAAAAATTTCGTGAGTTGAGATAAATATCTCATTGTAATAAAATATGCTAGATATAATGATGAATTTCTTATATAAAAAACTCATACTTCACTAATGATAAATTTTCCCAACCTAATATAGAAATTTTTTTTCAAAACAATTGTAAACGAAATAATTAGAAATCCAAATAAACCCAACGCATACGTGTTATAAACCTCACTATTTATTAGATAGTTTACAACTTTTAACAAAACCGCTTAATGTTGAAAAAACATAATACAATTCAATCATAATTCATAAACCTAATTACACTAGGATGCTTCATTGTACATGGAAGCTCTGATATAACTTCTGATCAAATATATGAATTCATTCAATCACGATGCTGACTGAGGATTATCGATGAACTCATACAACCTTGCTCGTCCACGAAATTTACACCAAGATTAGATCAAGCACTAGCAATGACAGCATTACGTAAATCTAGGGAAGGGATTTGGTGAATTGGTAATGAAAAGTTACTTTCTGATTTCTTTCCCTTTTTTTCTTTTCGTTTTTATGGATAAATTTCTAACAAGTGTTACAAGTTGGAGCATGAATAAGTTGTCTGGTATGAGTGAGCATACGTAGGAGCACTATGAATGGTATATTCTAGCAACGTACCAAATGAGTATTTTGTGGTTTTGGCACAGTTGACAGAACACCCGTATAAGAGAAGCGTACGTGTTTACAATCATAAGAGTGTCAGTGATCGAGTGCACTTCGAACTGTGAGTGGCGAATTTAGAACTGCGCCTCTGGATATAAGGTCGTGGTTTAAGAATAAAACAATGACAGTTATATCGTCGTGAAAATGGCGACGAACCTTCTTGTCAATCTTACGCAGATCCGAATACCGCATTTCTCGTTTTCTTGCTGCTTCGTGGAGGGCAGCCTTGATAAGTCTCTTGGCACTACCCTGCATTTATTCACACAATTTATAAGCACTGATGGAGAATGCCATGACAGTTTAAAATACAAAATCAACAACCAGCAGCCAATAAAATTATCCCCTCAATTTCTGCTTTTCTGAAAAATAAAATGCAAATCCATATCACAAAATTACATTTTTAGAACTTAATGCTACAGAACTACATTTACCCATCAGTACTGGCAAGACAGGTCTCGAGTTTCGCAACTCGTTGACAAAGCTAAAAAAAGCTAAAAGCATAGTTTGACCATGACAGTCAATTATTTTATTGGTACTCCTCTATATGATCAATAATCAATCCACTATTTTTCTGGATCATCAATCCTTTTAATGATCAAAAGTAATCCAACTTTTTTTTTTCATATTTAACAGATCTTCTCAAGTTTCTACTTTGTTTTAATTTTCATTTTCCAAATCTGTAAGAGCATTAAAGGCAATAAAAAAATTATTAATCACAAAAATGGGTAATCCTGTCCTAATATGGTTTATTCCATACTCAAAAATGGCATCAACAGTAATCAATTAAGACTCCAGACTGCTAACATTTATGTTAACCAAGATTGGTTTACAGTGTGATTGTTTTAACCACAAGTATAACAATTATTCTTTTGGGTCCCACGACAGGGAAGAGAAAAAGTAAACAAAGAGGATAAGGAAAGAAAAAATATTTCAAAACTAGACAATAATTAGTTTATAGAATATATTATATTCGTGGAACAATTGAATATTGTACTGTAGAAAAAGGTTTAAATATTTCAAAATGGATTAATGCACTTTTTATCCATATTATATAATACAAAAAAAAATTATTTGATCGTCACCCTTAGTGGCCACACATCACAAAGCTCAAAAAATAGCAAAGGAGTACCGATTAAGTAATTAATTGTATTCGATAAAAATAACAAAAGATACAGTGACAGTGTATGTGTGCTCTATTTCCAGAGATTACTTTTAACAAGCGAATTATGTGTTTAACCAAGTTCAAAATACAACCCCGCATTCTGTAGTCGTATTAGATGACGGAAAGACGACATGAACCAAGTGATGTCTAGTACACAACTACGTACTACAAGAAAATCACAAGGCAAAAAAGAATCTTACCGCACGTGGACTGCTGTGAACAATATCCACTGCTTGATCATTACTCAGGTGCTCCCATAAACCATCCGACGCAAATATAAGGAAGGAATCATTTGGTTGGATTGGATGAGAAATAACAGTTGGATTAGCAGACAAGAAAGGCATGTTCATTGGTTCGGGGAGTCTGAATTTCGCATTAATGGGTTCCCGGTTAAACTGCGCATGTTTCATATATACGTCACCTATAGATCTAGAAACCTGCACCAAATAACATGGAAGTATGTATAGCCATTAATACAAGAGTGGAAAGTAACACTGAAAAATAAGTTAACGGTTGCAGTAGTTATCTGGAAAAACACAAACCATTAATATCACAAAATTGAATAAAGGAATGCAGCAGAATATTGAATTAAAAAAGCATATCTACAGTTTGTGAATACTGAATTCCTTTTTTATCATAGGATAACAATGCAAAAAGTTTCTTTTCACAGAAAGCTAAGTTAACCAACAAAAAAACTCAACATATACTATCTATCTCCATTACTTTTTTAATGTCTTTTTAAGGATATACATTACCTAAGAAATGCAATATAATACAAGTTTACATTTATTATTTCTTGATCAATGAGTAAATTAATTTAAAAACAGGTGGCAAGGATATAGTTGACAAAAAAATAATTTGCGTTAACTTGAACTTTGAAAATAAAAAATAATAAGAACAAAAGTCTGTTAAAAAATTTACCCTTAAAAAGAAAGTGAGGGAGTATTCACAAATCAACAGCAAGTTGAGTACATGCGGAATTTTTTGAATAAAAAAGTATTGTAAAGTACCAAATATTTTACATTAGTAAATAGTCAACTTAAAACACTCCTTCTCAGGTCCCTGCACCCAACACTCATCTTTCTTTTTCATATATAATAATAATGATGATAATAATAATAATAATAATAATAATAATTTATTTTTAATGAAAATAATTTTCTCATACATTTCTTTAATTAGGGATAACCAACCCCTTCATGCAAAATATAGAGAGAACATTGTTTCCATAAAAAACCTCCGGCCTATTAGCCAAACACCTTCCCTTTTCTGAAACACATGCTTTCTTATTCCTTGGTCCTCATACAATCTTTCCTTATTCTCAATCTGCCCACTAATTCTATTTTTTTGGGTTCCTTTGCAATCTTTTCCCCAGAAGACCCTGAAAGAATGATTAGAAAATAAACTATGCCTAACAATGCTACACTTATATATGTCAAGGTTATCAAATCCATATTCAAATAATGAATTGCCAAACTATTTTTTAGGACCGTGCATCGTAATTTCGAATAGTACGACTTAGGTACAGTAAAAAAAGTACTTTAAGTATATCATATAGATGATGTACCAAGATTATCAAATTCAGATTCGAATCACTAATCCCTCAGCTATCTTTTGAATCCTTAGTCATAATTTTGAGCAGTAAGATTCAGGTACAATAAAAGTAAACGATTTAAAGTCTAGAGGCAGAATAAAAATTAACCAGAAATAGATAAAACAGCATAAGAAAAAGTCATCCGAAAACCAAAAAAGCTATTAGTAGTAGTTAAATTTGAGTACATAAGTGAGTGATAAATAAAGGTAGAATAATCAAATTATAGTAATCAATAGCAGAGAGCCTACGGAGTGCCCGCCTCTAAAACCGCTGTAGCATATTTTGATCCTAAAGTAGATTTATATTGCATTGTGTATTTAATATATGCTTAAAAATAAAGAAAAACGCCTAAAATTAAAATCATATTCTGATAACTTTCATGACCAAGTTGTCCAAAGCAGAAGCTGCAAAACAGCAAGAAAAGGTTAGGTTGGTAGCACCAACGGAAGTGTCACTAGAAACCTCATAGGGAAAAACTGCTGGAAATAGAGGCAGAATGCAGAAAGACGAGAGGGGAGTTCAGAGGCAGAATGTGAAATGTAAGGACTGATTTGCAAAAGAGGGGAGTGAAAATTGTGGGTTATAGGTTAACAGAGAAAGCTACCCTTATACTTTATTTGTTTCTGGGATTGTATTGTTACAGCCAAAGAAAAGGCGCAGATCATACCCGCAAATAATACATGTTTGTATTCGGTGATTTGCTAAAAAAGACATTGAACACGAATTTGGGACAGTGGGTGTGGGTTTTTCACACCCGCGGTCGTGAAAAGCAACTAGCTGAAAGCCAGCTGGAGAAATGATTTACATTTTTACTCTTATTTTTATTTTTCTACCCCAAATGTTATCCACAGCAAGATGTGTTACTTTTTATAATGTAGGATAATAGATTATGAAACGTAACATAATTAACTATGCTATATAATATAATAAATAATAAAAACAATCATAAATGATAATAATGATACTAAAAATAATAATAATAATAAATCATAAATTAAAAATAATAATAATAAGAAGAAGAATAACAATACAACAAAAAGAAATTAAGAATAATAAAATTGTAACTTAATATTTAATTAAAATAAATTTATAACAATAAAGATAATTCAGTCATTTTATAAATATATTATTTTATAATCTTGCTAAAAAAATTACTATCTCGCATTTTCACTTCATTTTTCCTTCACTTCACAATCTCTTTTCCTTAATTCAAAGATTCATTCTTTCCGCTCTCGTACCCTTCCTTTCTTTCCCTTTTCCCTCCTTCATTTTTATTCTTTAATCCCACCACAACCTTAACGAAAAAAAAAAATAGTCCCTTAGGTTAAATCAAGTTCATCGACCTTTGTAAAACTGCATGATCTGTCGCAATTATGGCCGCGAAACGCAGCTTGACAGCCTCGACCCCAAGGATGACGCGACAAAACATAAATTAAGCTACTTGCCTCAAATGTCTCATGGTTGGCAATAGACAAATAAAATATAAATAACATAGGCACCGTGAGCAGAATATATTTATGCATCTAGGTTAATTTGCAAACAAGTGTATCCTTAGTCATAAGAATAAAGCTCTATTTAGATAAACTTATCCATAAAAACTTGAAAAAGAAGAAAACAAAAAGGTACACTGAATTGAGTTTCTCATAAACCACAACAAACTTATGCGCCTGAGCTTCTGAATAAGATTAATAGCTTCTGTAAATGTTAAGTGAACACGTTAATTTTAGCTTATGGGAGAAGCTCAATACATTTTTACATTCATATTTCCGATCTACGAATGCTTATAAAAAAGTTCATCCAAACAAGACCTATAAATAGGAACAAGATATGTTCTTCTTGGGTTTTTTTTTATATACTATTAATCTAACACATCAGAATTAGTTCTTGGTGCATGTTAGGCTCTGTAGTGAGTATAATTTCAATAAGCTGTGTCCCGTTGTTTTGTTTCTTATCAATCAAATTTTCATGTCATAGAAATCAATATTGCAAGCTCTCACTTTCTGAACTTTTAACAATGATATTAATGACACTAAACCTATAATGCACAGACATTTCAAGGATCCACATGTCAATCAGACTTCATAAAATACATGTACACAGGGTATATATTGTTGTGTTTCTTAACATGTGGCAGTATCATAACCTGTGCACGTAATTAGAGAACCAAGTGAACAATTTTGCCTGATATATGTGACATACAGCACTAGCTAGGCCTCACCATTCAAAAGTTCACTTGTTATTGCATTTTTCCTACAGCCACTTGGATCTGAAATAGGTTACTCCATACCACTGAGTAATCCTGGGAGTAATCGCTCAACTTGGAGCTACTCCATTCATGATTCAACTAGTTTCAAGGCATTTGGTATAACTATGGAAGAAAAACTCTATGCTATTCTGGTACTCATCATGCTTGTATTGCTTTTACTGTACTGATGATATCTTTAAAAACCCTTCTCAGACCTCACATTTCATATGGCAGGATTTCTTTACCGGCCTACTCTTGTTTAGCAATTGGAGCAGTTAGCATGCTGACAGATAATCAGATATGCAAAGAGTTTAGCAAGTTTTGTTGTCTTGATCTCCTTGATTGTCTTTTATAGGTTTCTGGCTTGTTTGTTGCTTGCTTTACGAGGATATTCTATTCAACTCTTTCCTTCATAACGTTTCTTTCTACCACAATCATCTTTTATAGGGGCAAAAAGGATATTTCCACTTTCAGATGGAACAAAAACAGTTTATCCTCGATGGGATTGTTTAATGAATTTGATTAGAATGCACTAACAGCGCTAAAGTTTTTTATACTGGATTAAATAGCTAGTATGGTAAGATTGTCAAATTTTGTAATACTCACTTTAAACGTCATTTCAAGAGTAGTTTCTGATTGATTGATTGATAGTATAAAATTTTGAATGAAAATATATGAAAATTAAACTTTTGTTTAATAAAATGTTAAAACATTGTCACCTAGCTTCAGTAACTATACTTCCCAAGTCTGTCTCTGCTCCTATTTCAAGGAGATGTAAGCCACGATGTCTTCGCAAGTTAATATGATTAAACTTGGGTGAATGTGGGAATCACTTAAAAAAAAAAAAGAATAATCTCATGATTCTTTTATGCATCAATTGCAAAGTTAATGGATCGGAATGAAAATTCTCCGTTTACATTAGGCAATTTGGAGGAATTTCTGGTAACAATGTTGTAGAAGATAAAGGATGGGAATAACAATAGATTGTACGAGGAATATGCCACAAATAAATATATATCTTATAATAATATAAGGTAAAGATAAATTAGAAAACATACGGTACACGAACAACTATACCCTGAGGCTCTGACTTTACTTATTATTTTGAGTCCGTTAGCATATATTATTTTCATAAACTATGCATGTATTATTCTGTTAACATATATTATTCCTACCTCTTCTCTTTTGAGACCTAAGGAGAAAGGTTCAGTCATCAAAACCCAAAACTCTAACCAAATTCCTTCTTTAGGGAAGTTCAACCAGAAAACTCAATAGAGAATTCCCACAACTAATATTTGGCATGTAGCATGATTTCCAGAAATTACCTGAATTATGCCCTTGACTCTCCACACTCCATGTCTCAGGACAACAATCTGGGGGTCATCCGGGTGCAATTCCTTAAGCTCCTGCCTAATAGCCTCAATATTCGCGTTGTGCTCGGTGGACAGCTGAATTGCAGCCATCCCACCAGTGTTGCCAACTCTCCTACCCAACACAGCACGGGAATCTCCAAGACTCGCCACAAACAGCGTCTGCCGACAAATAACTCCAACCAAACAACACGTTCCAGTGGTTGCAATTTGCGGCCGAGAGCTCCACAACTCTGAAACAAGCGCCGTGAATCCCTCCTCGGTCCGCTGGAACGCCTGTTGAATGACCTCAGAAGTCACAACACTATGTGACTCGGCCAATATCGCTGCAGCACAAACACCACTCCTAAGACAATAACAACATACAAATGGCTCCAAAAGATCTTAAACACACAACAATCATCAACTTTCCACATAGACACGTAACAATATTAAAAGAAAAAAGAAAAGAGGCCGATAGAGACACATAGCTCCCACACAGATAAGAACCAGCACACACCTTTCAACTGTTCGTGACTCTTGTGAAGACTGAAAAGCACAACTACTTTTAAAAGCAAAGATAAATTCAAGAAAAGCGGAAATCACTAAAAAGAGTTAAAACTCACGATCGAGAATTGAAGTGAAACTATATAAGAAAAGAGCGACAGAGAGAGAGGAGGAGTGATTGAATCGCTAACCTTGGAGATTACGGAACAAGTTATCACAAACATAACGCGAACAATCGGGGCCGCCGTGGCCGTCGTAGACTCCGACGAAGGTGCCGAAGGGCCCGGACTCGATCTGGCTCTGGTCCTCGAGGACCTGGTTGGCCTGGACGACAGCCATGGAGAAATCGCCGGCAGCGAACCTTCCGATGTCGCGGAACCAGAGGAGGCCGTCCTTGCATTCTCTTCCGGCATTGGCGTCGTCACCGAGCCCGAACGGTTTCCAACAGCGCGCGATAAGACTCATCAATGCCTGGAGCATCCCACATCTCTCAGAAACCCTAACCCTAGGCCCCCAACACCCGAACCTTTCCCACCGGGGGCGCCGTGCTCCGAATCTGAAGAAGGGTGTGGAAGGGAAAAAAAGAAAGGGTGCGCAGGATAAACAGGGGCGCAGGTTAACGTGAAAGAAAGCGTGTGTTCGGTGGTAGAGGAACAGGAATGGGCTGGTTCCTTCTCTTGTTGGGTGAGGATGCTGTGGGGAAGCCCTTCTTGTTGCGTGCTTTTCTTTTCAATGTCTTTTTTATTTACATTTTCTTTTTCCACTTTCCTCTTCCATTTACAATAATTCTTTCATCATTTTTCTTTTCTTTTCTAACTTCTCTCCTTCATCATCTTCCACAGCTGACTTTATATGGTCATGTATTATTACCTCTGTACCAAAATTTATATTATTTTTATTATTAATTACAAAACAAAATATTACCATATGCAAATTTTACAGTGTAGTGGTTTATCATAAGTGCATTGCACTACCTCAATGTATTTTTACTTGTAATGTCAATGGCCTTTTTTCTTCCCATCATCTTTATTATTTCTTATCACTCAGGTCTCACAAGAACTATAATAATGAGGATACCATTTTCTACACCTCTTATCCTTGTTATCATTGTCACATAACTCACAATAAATGGTTGATGTAATCTCCTATTGAAATTAATTGCTATACTTCATCGTGTCACTTTCTTATCTATCCAAAAACAGAATGAGTATATTTACTTCTTACCTTTTAACCGTAGAAGAAAGTATAACAATTATTAAATTCGTTTTCTAGCATATTGAAGTTTATCCATTCAAAAGCTTATGTCACTACTCAAATGTTGTGTCAAATTAAAACAAAGCACGGATTTTCTTAGCTTTAAGAAGTTATATTCTTCTCTTAAGTATTATTGACCATGTTAAAAATACTCACTTTAGTATTAATGTTGACATGATAAATTTAATTAGATAATTGGTAAAACTCAAATGCCTAGTTTTCAACGACATCATTTATTTTGCAATTGTTCCAAGTCATTTATGCATAATTGTTGAGTTTTTATACATGACTCTAAATTCCTCTTAATTTGTAGTGTGTATTATATTCATTTGTTTATCTCCCTCATCATTGTTAAAAATAGTTATTTGTTTATGTTATCTCTTTTAATTATTATATTAAAAAATATTTTTTTTATCAACAAATATTAGTTGTTAATACTTGTTAATGAATAAGTTGAATTTATAACTTCTCTTGTTTGCTTCCAAACTTACCAAGTCAATCTTATAACTTTGAAGTGTTAGTTATAACTAAGAATCATTTGTCATTCTCATTCCTGTCGAAAAGGTTAGATAAATGATTTGATTTTGCATACATCTTGCACTCATTTCTTTATTAGTTTCCAACAAAATTTCCATTTCCCAGAATCCATGATAAGACTAGGCTTTGGAAAGCTGAAAAATGTTCATAGGTGAAATGTCAGGAGTATCACAATTCAAGAGACGCTCAGCGATAAGAACACTAGCAGCATCACTAGGATGGTAAGTATCCCAGAAAACATACTTGGAACGGTCCTCACAAACTTTTGAACTCCGATTGCAAGGAATCAAGCCTCCAAATCGACCAGCCACGTGACAGCATGCACTATCAGGGTTCTCAAAACCTGTTGCACGTTGAAATCACAATTTTTATTCCCAAAATGACTTCGTAGTTCTGGCTACTGAAACGAAAAAACAAAATGTTACAAACCATAGTCTTTATAGCTCATGAGGATATCTTCCATAATATGGTAAACATCTGCATAAACAAATAATGACCCTTCCAATTTTGTCCCAAGCTCTTCAACAAGGCTCTTCAATTGTGTGTTGAACAACTGGGCCAGCTCATTTGGGAAAGTGACACATTCATCTTCATCATAGAGGTTTAAATTTACATCCCTTATATATGGTATACACCCAATAGGCCCTACATTTGCCACAACAATTTTTCTAGCCCCTAGACTGAAAAGTCGCTGCAAAATTGCAATTGCATGTGATCAACTAACAAAATAGAAACATGATTGAAACAAAGCTTTCTTTTTTAGCAAAATTACAGTGAGTTGTAGTCTGAGTCTTGATATCAATGTGGCCACAAATGATTCTGGCGATACCAGCAATCTCTCCGGAATTGAGAATAAGGGTGTCAGATAGTTATCCAAGAAATCATTTGAGCCTAGTGCTACCGTAAAGAGGGCCTTCTTAAACAAATTCAGAGCCTCAGGGGCACCAATTAAAGAGATGATTTCTTCCCTGGTGTTTGCAAAATTGTCAATCTGTGCATCGAAGTTGATTCGACCACCCTGTTATTTAACATTAATTTTAATGACATTACAAAAAAAGTGTATTCTATTCTAATTTAGGACTATGACTTACAATAATTGCACATAAAACTTCACTATTTGAAGAAAAAAACTTACAAAAATTTCGCCAGAGTTATTAAGAATTCCACCTGCACCAGAAGCATAATTAACACCCTTTAGCACTGTTGATCCAGTAGTAGAGGGAGCCAAGTAAGGAGGAGAAAAGTCAAGACCCAGTTTCTGATCTGGTACCATACATCACACGTTGCTCAATGAGAAATAAATAATAATTGATACAAGCATTTGAACAAAGAAATAAAGAAATATAAAACCTAATGGGAATCCGAAACCCTCACTTATAACATCAACAACTGTTTTTCCATTGCTGAATCGACCCGTGGGCATTCCAAAATCGATCCCAAAGGGGTCATGGTTTGCTTTGGCCAGTGAAACAATATAGTTGTTGTTACCCACATCGACCAACGAATCCCCAAAAACAAAAGACGCTGGTACATCGTTTGAGAACCCAAACCGAAACAATAACGACAACATAAAAGCTCGAAACATAATTCCAAAAGTGACTCTTCCGATGAGAAAAATACCCATTAGAAAGGACATCAGAGGATACTATATATAATTGTATCAAATGTTGAAGCAGGACTCTGTTTTGGTTTGGTTTTCTGCTCGAAGAGACAGAGTGAGTTTTATAATGTGACAAAGATTAAGGTGAAACACCCAAATAGTTTCCAGTACTGTTACTCTTGTTGATGAACATTGTGGATCCACCAAAAAATTTCATAATATTGTGTGGAAAATGAGCTTGCTTTTTAGTAGGCTGGCAAAAACAAACTTTCTCTGTAGCACTGCGTGAGAACGAAGGCATTGCCCCGTGAAGGAAATTATTTAGTCATAGGTTGATAAGGAAATGCGTTGCAGTATTGAAATTATCATAATTTTCCTAATTTATTTTGAAGCGAAAGCATTTCACTAAATTTATAGATAGTTTATTTTTATAAAAAAAAATGAAATTTTTTATGTTACAAAATATTTTTTGAATATTTATTACAATAAAAACAGAAGTTTTAAAATTTATTGGAGTACTTTGGCTACTTACAATTACAAAACTTTAAATTTTATTTAAAAAGTATTGACTTAATTATAATTTTTTTCTCTTTTATATTTATGTCTCTTATTTACTCCTTGTATTTTCAATTTGGTCTTCACGATATCAGTTTGACCAAGATTGGAACATCATTCGCTTGAATTCAATTAGAATTTAACAGCATACATAAGGTTGAGCTTAGCAACTTGCTTGATGTCACTCAGTACACTTTTTTCAATTATTTTCAGGTTAATTTTAAGTTGAAAAGTTGGTCGTAATTATTTTTTACTAACATCAGTTAAATTTATTTTCTTCTCGAAATAGAACAGTATTATTTATGAACAAGTAATGTTAATTATGATTCCTTTCATCTTTACTATCAAATAACGTTCTATTAATCACGAGCCAGAAACATTGAACATTCCCTGCAGCAAAAACCAGTTTATCTGAGAGTATCTCAAAAACATCCTCAAACATTCACGTTAACAGAAAAATCAGATTAAACGTTGAATGAGTTGGCGAACATTCATTGGAAAAATGTCATTATGATCACCATCTAAGAGGCGCTTTGCGATGATAGCATTTGCAGCATCAGTGGGATGCCAAGGGTCCCAGAAAACATACTTGGATCTGTTCCTGCAAATGCTTGAAGTGGGACCACACGGAATCAAACCTCCAAAACGCCCAGCCATGGAACAACAAGATGTACATGCATTCTCAAAACCTGCCACATTAAAAACATAAGGGTCTAATTAGTTCAAAAATGTCACGCCAAGTTTAGCTTCCTGCACATTTTCTTTGTCACCTCTGATACACACCATATGCTGGGTAATTGTTGAGCATGTCTTCTAATATGTGGTACACATCTGCATAAACGAACATTGAACCCTTCAGATTTGAATTCAGCTCTGAAATAAGACCCTTCAACTGGATATTGAATAACTGTGCTAGCTGATTGGGAAAACTGACACACCCATCACCCGCAGCTGGGTTTGTATCCCTCTGACTTGGTATACATCCAATAGGTCCTACATTTGTCACAACAATTTTTCTGGCACCTAGATTGTATAGCCTCTGCACATATTATAGATAGGAAAGATTTTTAATATCTTATGAAATATTAGGAATTAAGGTCTTCTTATGAGGAACATTACAGTGAGTTGTTCTCTGAACTTTGACATTAAGGTGATCACAAAGAGTTCTGGAGATGCCAAATTCATTTCGTCAATTAGAACTGCTGGTGCTAAATAGTTGTTGATGAAATCGTTGGAACCCATTGTTACTGAAAACATGGACCTATTGAATAGACTGAGAGTTGCAGGAACACCAATGCTAGAAATTATGTCTTGCCTGGTGTTGGCAAAGTTATCTAACTGTGCATCGAAGTTGATTCTGTCACCCTTCAAAATCGCAAACACAAAGTTATTATTTCATTTAAGTTGGAGCTCAAACAGTAGCAGTTATTGTTGAAGCAGAAAACTCACAAAGAGTTTTCCAGTGAGATTGAGGATTCCACCTGCACCAGAAGCATAGTTGACACCTTTCATAATCACTGGTAATACTGCTGTTGGTGCTAAGTAAGGCGGGGTGAAATCAGCACCCATTTCTTGACCTGATGAATCATGATAAAGTTATGAGATGATAGATAAAAGTGACACATGATTGAAATAAGAAGAAAAAGAAAATCAGAAGTTAATCTTGCCAATGATGTCAACTATGGTTCTTCCATTTGTGAACCTCCCTGTTGGTTTTCCAAAGTCAATTCCAAAGGGAGGATAATTAGCTTTTGAGAGGGAAGCAATGTAATTGTTGTTCCCCACATCGAC